TATATATATATACATATATATATTTGGTTTTGGTTTTTCTCTCATATTTTTTTTTTTTCGCTTTTCTTTTTCCCTCCTTTCTTCCCCTTTTAACTTGATGGTGTAGTCTCCTCTGAGGAGGGCTCTGGTATATGTTCTGGAGGTTCCTCTGTCTCCAAAGAGACTTCTGGCTTCTCCTCTGTCAGTTTAGGCTCCTCGGGGGGTTGAGTGCCCTCCAGCTCCTGACTCTGAGCCTGACTGTTCATTTTCTCTTCTGCTTCTATCTCTTCCGAGGTGGGAATGGAGTTTTTCTTTGGACGGCCTTTGGGCTTTGTTGGAGCTTCCTGTCCACCCTTCAGCACCTGGAGCAATGAGATGAACCATCAGGATCAATCTGAACTCTGCTGCTGTGAGACATCCTTCAGAGAAGGATGGAACTCGGCTTTGACCTCAAAAGTAATCCATGGTCACCACTTCAGCCTCATTGAAGTGTCCTGCATTCACAAAGTGAGTTCATCCATTTTCTCATGGAAATAAAATGAAATGCAAACATTATCAGCAAAGACACCCAGAACTCTGGAGGTCTCTAAGTCAGTTCCTACAGGAAGCCCAAGAGCAACCCAGGCATGCAGTCCTCATCACTACACACAGAAGATTTTATGCACAATTTAGTTCCTTTCCTGAGTGCTTGCTTTATTCCAAACCCAAGTATTAAAATGCATGAGACCCCTCTCATTTGAGTAAAAGGTGGGAGTCAGCAAGCCAGGTCTGATCCTATGTTTAATTCCCTCTCCCTTCACACCATCACTGCAGCAATAAGACACTTCCAAAGATCTTTATCCAAGCTAATTCCAGATTTAAGTGGCAGTAACTTCTGCAGCTGTCACACACATTCAGAGATACAGTCTAGAACTGCATCTCCTCTGCCAGATCAGAATACATAAACATCTCCACTTGAGAATGTCACAGCATCATGGTTTCCACCAGGATTTATTGGACACTTGTCCTTTCTAAAAGCATTTTAACTGGAAAAGGGCCATGAAGCTGTAAAGAAGTGAAAGACACAAAAGGAAGATAGGAAAAGCAAGAATTAATGATATTAGCTCTCAAAACTGCACTGGTTTCCATAGAGCAGCACAATCTTTTTTGTCTATGCACATAACCTATCCCACAAGCATTAAGATCCCAGGAATGCTAAAAGTGCAGAGGGAAATATTTTGGTTCTTCCCTCTGTTCTGTCCTCATTTCTTTCATCCCTTTGCTTTGTATTCTTCCTACTGCCTATGGGCCCCTCTAGCCCACCACTTAGGCTGCAGGATGAATATTTGAAGAAAAAAGAGTGTCTCTAAGAAAAGTGATCAAGAATAAACCAAAATTTGATATCAACAGACACAGGTCACTGACACTGTGCTCAGCTTCCAAATCTGTTCTTTTGAAATCCGTTCTTAAGGATGATGGAATGAACCATTTACCATTTTCTTCCACTTCATCCTACGGTTCTGGTACCACGTCTTCACCTGCAGCTGTGTCAGCCCCAGCGACTGGGCTAAGTCCAACCTTGGAGACAAAAGAGACACTGAAGTGAGTCTACAGAGGACAAGAAGAGCTCAGATGCTCTGGGACAGCTGCTGGTACACCACATCCCTGATAAACAGGTCTATGATGTCTAAAGCAACCACATAAGAACCAAGACATCCAGCATCAGTCTGCTCTTTGCATCCTATTTCTTCTTCACTACCCACATAATAGGGGTAATAAAACTTTCTCATTTCTCACGGAGTAGTAGTACATCTAAATCTATTAATTCCTTATGCATTCTGCTATTATAGGCAATTCAGGCTTATAAATGAATTTATTATTTGCGTGCTTAGCTTAAGGGTATATGTGGCAGACAGCCCATAATCCTGATTCATCCTCCACAAATCTCCAACCTATGCAAGTTCATCTGAAACCATTCATTATTTCTGTATTAAAACCCAGGATATGAAGCAAATGCAGCTCAAAGTAACTCTTTATCCTTCCCCACAGGTGATAGCTCCATGCATCTGGCAGTTTTGTCATGGAGTTGCACAATGGATGGAGCTGGAAATCCTCAGCCACACTGGGTAAGTGGCCCACAGAGTCACGCAAGTCCTGCAGGTGGGATAGCTCCAACTCAAAGCCACGTTCCAATCTGTTCTGGAATCTGAGAGCTTTCTGGCAAGTCATTCCCAGCCTTTGGCTAGGGTAAAAAAGAATGTCAAGGCCAAGTTTTTCATAATCAAACTTCTGTTCCAGGTGGGCTCTTAGGGCAATAGACTCACTCTCCTATCCACAAACACCTATATACCTGGAGCAGCTTGCTGGTCTCAAACTCATGCGTGGATTCATGGCTCTCCCCCCGTGTGGATTCACTCTACACCTACAGGCTTGGTTTGCCCACTGCCTATGCCACTACACGGCATCTAAGAGGTACCCCATTGACTTCAAGACACTGTTATGTGAAAAGGAGAATCTAGCAGAGGCATTATCCTGTTGTGCTGCACTCTCTTTCTGCTACTAAACCAGGTGCTTCAGTTGCTCTGCCAGGGGTACAATCTTGTTTTCAGGAGTAAACCTGGATCACAACCCACTGCTTTGCCATCACGTTTCCAGCCATGAGTTGACAGAGACAAACACTGCTTGACTAACTCTTCTTGCCTTGCTGCACATGTCTGATCACACTTTGTAACCAGTTACCAGCTCTTGCCACATGCATTAGGGTAACCAGCACTGCCTAGAAACCCGAGGAAACAAACAGAGGGGAAATAGTACATGGACAGGAACTGCTCATCAGCCTCAAACATGTACAAAGCCAAGGAACAGTCATATGATAATATTAATTAACAGCCTCGAGTGCTTCATCAACAGTGTCAACCATCTGGTTATATGAAGCTGTGAGGAGTCTGCACAGAAGCATTAGTGACACAGTGTGATACAGCCTGGCCATGCTGGTGAAATTTGGTGGCAGGCAGAATGAGCAGAGAATGTCACCTTCAGTTTAAATACTGGGGCACTGCCATCTGTGGAGTTCAAGGTCTGGTGTACCTTTCAAACCCTCTCCAGGTTTACAAACTTCATAGGAATTGGACAGGTCTTTGTGCTGTCATTTCAATTTGCAAAGTAGGATTCAAAGCCCTTTAAACAGCTAAAGCCTCTCCTTTGTTTGGTTTCTCCATGTGGTACCAAGTAGGCCCCAAGAACTTCCCTTTTCCTTCAAAAAGACAAGGTACTTGCAAGTGCTTTACCAAGGGCAAGGCAGCCTTCAACTCTCTGCAACTCAACCTTTTTTCCAGTGAGCAGCAGGA